CTATCTTTGAGCGCGGTGTCTGGCGAAAGATATCTCAGCAATTATGGCAGCTCGATGATGCATGATGATATATGTATCTATATCTATAGATATATATAGATATATATATATACATAAATGGATATGAGAATTCAGTGCACATGAATATTTATGTCCTTGAGAGAGATACAGTTACTTTTCGCTAGTTTGAGCATCATTTATCATAGGTCCTGGGAAACCGTTCAATGCCACATGCCAAATCACAGCAATTCAATTATGCTTTAGTTATTGTAGTTGAAGATGGATCTTTTTCTTATGCGTTTAAGTTGAATATGGAATTAACCAGAATAAAACTATCTTTGAGCTATCTTTGAGCTGTTGTCTTAGTTCAACAATAGTTGAAGGATGTTCCACACACTAATTTGTAGAAAATGCAACAAATTTTATAATTGATAATTGCTATGGTTTCTATCTGTCATATATCTGATATCTGATATCTGTCGTCTGATCAGATCTGTATTCGTTTTTGAGGTGAAAATTCAGCTTGTATTCAACTTGTGCTCAATTTTTGGTATGGCATCGAATGAATTGAGTGGTCGCTGAGCCAGTGGTCGAGTGATCTGTACACCTGCTGTCCAAAATTGGGTCTGATGAATGGTTTGGCAACAAAATAACATGTTATAGATACATACATATATATATGTGATGGCACGCCTCAAAGGACGTTGCACGGCGACCAACAACAGGTGAGTTTTGTTAATTGTTGTTGTTTGCGAAGGACACGGCTGGTTAGAGCCTTGCACAAAGTCCTGGCCAAGAAAAGAGAGCGAGTCCAAGAGATTGGGACATGCATATTTAGCGCCTACGTCTAGCTAGGTGGCAGGCGACCCGCAGGATATGCAGCAGGATATGCCAATCTAAGTTGACGTGCAACTGTCTGCCTCTGCTTGGCAGTCCTTGTTGCACTCTGTTCGCAAGTCAGCTAAGAGCTATATTCGTTTTCAGCAAGGTCAATCTTTGAGCTAAACACGGAATTTGATTTAAGTCTAGTTTGATTTACTAGTTGTTATTAATGCTTATAGATGTATATACTTTCACTCAAATAATAGTATATATACTATAATGAAATACAATTTTACATACGATTTTTATTATTATTATTATTATTATATCTTGCAAAAATGGTTGATCCTTGTTTTTATTCTTGTAAGTTTATCAGCAATAGTTTATTAATCACTTTTCAATTAGAATTCATTTAGCGACTGACAACTTTTGAAGTCTCAATTGTTTTTACACTGGAAACAGAGTATGGCGCAGTCGCAACGTTCTCATCGGTTTTTGGTTTGCTTTTTTTCGCACAAGTTTAGACATTTGCACGGCGACTTCGTGACAGGATATGCAGGACAAATGCCCGCTCCCCGCCTCTGTCTGTCCACATACCCGCCTCGATCAGCGTCCATTGTTTCGCTCGTTTTTGCAACTGTTTTTCTCCTCCATCCCTTCCCATTTCTCCGCCGACGATCCTCGAGCGGCGATAAGCAAGGCACGCGTGCCAGCGGCCAGCGCTCTCAAGCGGGCGTACCCCATGGACCAGACCAGGCAACCAGTAGGCCAAACCTGCCAACTGGCTAAAAGAAAGCAAGCGCCGAGGGAGTGGGGAGTGGGTAGAGGGAGAGGGGAGAGGGGAGAAAAAAAGTGCGGGTCGAAAGGTGTGCGTTGAACGCAAAGAGTGTTTTCCAATCGACTGCCGTCGACTTTTGTCACTCCAAACCAAATATTAAGCGGGTGCTCTATGTGTGTGTTGTGTGTGTGTGTGTGTGTGTGTGTGTGTGTATTGTGTGTGTGTGTGTGTGTGTCTCTGTGTGTGTGTTGTGCTGTGTGTCTCTGTGTGTGTGTTGTGCTGTGTTTCAATTTGACAATATTCGCCACTCGACAGAAGCGTTTAAATCGCAATTAGAAGCAAAAGTGTGCCCGCTTTCCACTTCCACTTCCACTTCCCCATCCACTTTTCCAGTTCCACTTTTCCACTTTACAAGATTTAAACCATTAAATGAGTTTTCAATGAATCTGCGCCTTTGCAAAATGAGAATAAGAGATCATCGTGTGTGCGCCCATTGTGTTGGCACAGATAATAATAATAGCCACACTCTATTAACTTGGAATTATAGGGGCATTTCAAGCTGAATGGTTGGACTGGATTGGATTGGAATTGGGATTGGATTGCCAAATGAATTGCTTTGTAAGTGCACTTTGTGCACTTTTAGTCGGGTGTCGAATGGACTGTAAATTTATAGATACATTTCGATTTACTCAAAGTTCTTCTTGATATAGAGACTTTTTAGAATCTTCAATTGAAAAGAGCCAACGTTTTTTTTCGGCAATTCCTTAATGTGTGTTAGCTCTACAACATTATTATTATTATTATCATCATAATTGGGATACCTGCACAGCTCTGCAACATTAAAAACCACTTTTATTTGTGTGGCAAAAGTTTTTATGACGATTCCCACAAAGCTGTCGAGCTGCAACCAACAACGGAATCCATTTCACTTACAATCAAAATAAAATTAAAGAGCTGCATGTTAAATGAGACGGCAAGTCTAAGTAGACATGCCCCGGCCAAATAGAAACCGAAACAGATGCACTTACAGACGCCGACATGGACACGGACAATGGCAATGACAGCAACAAAGGCGCATCATTATAGAGCCAGATAATAATGTGCAACTGACCAAAACAAGTAGAACAGAAAGCAAAAGTTGTTGCACGCATCAAGGAAAGGTGAGCTCATAAAAAACGATGATGGACGCGCGACGGGGCAACCTTTGTCAAGTTTCACTGATTTCACTAGCTCAGGCTAGGCGTTAGACCCTAGGCTGTAACTGTAACTGCCCGCTAACCGTTGTCCCCTGCTCCGCTGGTCCGCTGGTCAGCCCCTTAGATCAGTTCCTTTTTGTTGCGGAAGCACAGAAAAGGGTTTGACAGGCCGACACTGTAAACTATTTTTATGTTCTATTTGCGGCAACGAGGATTCCTAGTCCATAAATAGAACAATATAAATAGTTAATCATAATAAAAGCATACAAATCTTAAGAGTCTAGCGAAGCTGCAATTTCCAATTATTTAATTGTATAAAATATCTTAGGTTAAAAATGAGAAATACTCGCTTGGTTTTGTTTTTCGCTCAGTGTACTTGAAGGAAAATACAGGGCAAACAAATGCTCTACTTTGATTTGGATGTGTTGTCTGCTTGACCTTGCCTTGACCGCCTCGGGGAGGGAATCCTTATGGATGCAAAGAATGCAAATATGAATAATGGTGACGTCCATCGATGTCCAGACATATCACATCATAAGCTATTTACATTATGTTGTCAAGTCTGTCAAGCCGCATAAGGACACAACACATGCCCCTCTTCCCTCCCCTTGGTCCTAGTTCGACACTGTCTGCTTCTTACACGCTACTTGGAAAAGTTTTACGCTCGGCTGGGCAGCTGAGCCTGGGAAGTCTGGGAGAATGGGACCTGTGTGTGAAAAGTGTTAACTTAGCTGGCCAACTCGCTTCTGACCAGCAGATTAAGGCGATGACTGGCCACAGCGACTGTTCCTGTCGAAGGGTTGGCATAGCTGCCATCAATGCATTTGCATAACTCTTGGTTTCGTCCCAAATGTTATGACAGCTCATTTAACGCTGAGCTCAATGATCGTTACAATCGAACACTGATATTTGGCCCGATGTGTGCACAACTTGACCAGCTAATGAGCCAGGGTCAGCCAGCATAGTGTTGTTGCTACAACCATCAAAAGTAGTCCTGTGAAATGTTGCAATTTGTAAACTGTGGGAAACTTGAGAAAATATCCTCATTATATGCAACTAGAAGAAGCCCAGCGGGATTTGCTCAGCTTAAAGTAAAATAGATTATCCACTAATTAGAGCTGGTTCTCAGTTTCTGCTTTTCTTGAAATTTGGTTTGAATTAATCGAGAAAACAGACAATGAGCAAGAGCACATCCCTGAATGGGATAGTTATATAGTTTACCATATATAAGCCATATATATGATATATACTAAAATCATTTAATTTATGATGTGCAGAATTAAACTTCTGCTGTTAATTAATTTGAAAAGTATTATGGGAAATTGACTTTCTTAAAAAGTAACTAATTTATGACAGCAAGTCAATCTTAATTTGAATGTTCAATGCCTAATAATATTGTCATATAGTCCTGCAGCCTTTAGAACATTACTCTGTGCATATATATTCTCGATTATCGTTCTTACGCAAGTCGATATAGTCAAGGCAGTTTATCACGTGGCGATTTATCCAAGTTATTCAGACCAAACTAACTCCAGCTACGCAAACAAAATAAAAGATTAACATCAGAAAACTACATCAAATAAGGAGCAATCGCTCGGTTTATCATACATATGTATATATACATATATGTATATACAAAATTGACTCCCGTCGTAATGTAAACTAAGAGATGTCCAAGTTAGCCAAACTCTATTGTTTCTTTGCCAAATGGAATGAGTTAGTAGCAACAATTGTTGCTGTTGCCCACATATAATTACTGCTTGCAATTAACTCAGTGTCCTGTTTGTAGCTTGCTCTTCTCTCTCTCTCTCTTTCTGTCTATATATGTCTGTCTCTGTCTTTTCATAACAATTGCTTGTCCTTTTTGGTAGCTATCAAAGCATAAAAACGCCCATTAAGCAGGCGCTGTGGGAAACACTTGCAACTTTGTGGCCCGTGTGTTATTTTTTGGTTTGTTGGTTTGTTGTTCACTTCCTTCACCTTCACCTTCCCGGGAACTTGAGGAGCTGAACACTTGAAGAGCATGCGCCACGCTTCGTTGGATCTCAAGTGGTCTTTGGCATTAAGCTGGTTGCGTCCAGTGTTTCGACTCTAGACTCATTTGTGGCTTGTTTCTTTCGACTGTGGGAACGCCGACAAGAGCCGCTCATTAAAAATAAATAAAAAATATCAACAATAAGATTATAATTTCCATCATTAAATCGTTTATTCTTTACATATACCACAAAAAAAAAGTCTTAATTTAATTGAAAAAAAAATTGTTTCTAGTGTAATTTCATCAACTGTCCTCATTTAGCGAGAAGCTCAAACGCCGCTTTGTCGCGTCTCTCGCCTCCGGCTGCATCCAGATTGCATCCAGCTTACAAGCAGCCTCCAGCTCCTCTCCACCAAGTACCAGTTCCAGACCCGTTCCTGCTCTTAAGCCCAGCTCCTCCTCCAGCTCGCAGTCGCTGGTGGAGTTGTGTCCGCTATCAGGGCTTATGTGGCGGGAGCGGGAGTGGGGCAGCTTCTGGGCAGAACGCGAGGCGGCTGCAAGAAGCTTCTGCGCAGACTGCCTAACGCTCGACGAGATCTTCGTGGTGATCTTCCGCTTGCGCCGCACCACACGCTGCCTGCGCAACTGCTGCTGCAGCGAACGCCTCTTCCCACTCTTTCCCCCCACTCCACATCCACCTCCAGATCCAGACCCAGACGGAGGCTGTAGCTGTGCCTGTTGCTCTTGCTGTTGCTGCGGGGAGCGCACTTCTCGCTCCTGGTAGCCGTCTGGCTGCCAGTACTCGCAGAGATCGCTGGCCGGGTCGAAGGCGGGTCGATAGGTGGGCGAGTGGACGACCGTCCTTGCAGTCGAGATGAGACGCTGCTCCTGGCGATGATGTTGACGCTGGCGTTGACGCAGGCGTTGGCAACTGCGAAGGGAAGGAGCAGCACCTGGTCGACTGGCCACGGGTGCCTTACGAGTGCTCTCCAGAATGGCATCGATCATCCGCTCCAAGGTGACATCGCCCATTTGAGTCGAGCTGAGCGTTGTCTGCTCAAGGAGAGCAGCAGGAGCAGGAACAGCAACAGGAGCAGGAGCAGGAGTAGGAGGAGGAGCAACAGCTGCTCCAACAGTTCTGGCTGGCAGCTGTGGCAGTGGCTTCTGTTCCAGGTAGCGTGGCTTCTCGAAATAGCTGTCCGGGATGCCCATTCCACGCAGCGCCAGCAGTGGGCCTGGAATGATGTTGTTGCTGTTGTTGTTCCCATTGAGTCCGTAGCTGGGCGAGAACTCCGCCTCGAAGGTGGGCAACGTGGAGGCGTAGACCGTTGTTGGCTTCAACTGACTCCGGGCACGGTGCAGAGGAGCTGTTGTGGTGGGCGTGGCTGGAGTCATGATGTTGCTGAGATCCCGGAGGAGGGGCGTGCGCGGACACGAGGAGGAGGAGGCGGAGGCTGAGTAGGAGACTGTAGAGGCAGCAGCGGGCAGCGGCGTCGAAGTCAACTGATTCTCCTTGCCCAAATTTAAAGCAGGCAGCAGAGAATTGCGCTTCTTCAGCTTGAAGCGCTGCTGCGCTAATCCTGCAGGAGTCGCCTGTGGAGTGGGGAAAGGAGTCCCAATCGAAATTGGAGTTGGAATTGGAATTGGGGCTGCCGCATGAAAGTCATTGTAGTCGATGCCACTGCCAAGGACAGCTTGGACTGCTTTGCCCCCCTCCAGGTAGGAAGGACGCGGCTGGTTGACAGCCCACTTGAGCATCTTCAGATGAAGCTGCTTCTTCTCTTGCTGCTTGTGCTGCTGACTGCGTTGGTGTCTGCAAGTGCGGGAGGAAACAAAGTGGTTCGGTTAGTATTCTAGCTTGCAATATCGCAGAAAATGTCTGTGTGTGTGTGTGTGTGTCTGTGTGTGTGGCATTCTTCTGGCGTGGTTCTATATATATATATATTCTGTGTATATTTTGTGTAGCTTTTTGGCTTTGCTTGCGCCTCCTTCGCAATTCGCAATTCGGAATTCGCCAAGTTGCCGGGTGAGTTTTTGGCGCGCTTTTCGCCAGAAATTGTGAATATGTGCGTAAATGCATATATCTGTATACATACATATATATCTATGAATACAGTGGTACAAAATGCACCGTTTCAATTCTTGATTTCAAGTCGAATTTCTGCAATTTACATTCTTTTGCCAGCAACCCATATTTGTGTATTTATTGTTAAATGAGGCAGCAAAAATGAAATCAAAAAAGAGGCTGCAGGCACTTTTGGCAGAACTCCTTTAGCGGGCAATTAAATTCCCTGTACGTAGAGTTACCCTTGGGAACCCCCGCTGAACAGCTTGAACTTGAATGAAAATTCAAAAAAAAAAAAAAAAGAAAAAACAGAACTGCAAAACTGGAAAATATTTATGATATGCAAATATGATATGCATATTAAAGCTCAAGGGAGGAATGCAAAATGCATTACAAATTCCACGAGATGAATGTGAATATATGTGAGTGTGAGTGTGAGTACGAGTGTGATTCGAACAGTTGATTCATACTTTGCTGAGCTTTTCGAATTAACTTTGGCTTGGCATCCATTTTCAATGCACTTTTAATTACCTTTTTCACAAGAATAGGCACACAGATTTTTCAAGTTTGCACCAGTAAAAAAATAAAGAAATAATTGTTGCAGATGGAATTAGTATTCAAATTCAAATTCAATTTCAATTTCGGTTTCGGCTTCGTAGCGAAGCGAGAAACGTGCACTCCGACCGGCTTGTGTTTGCGTACTGACTTGGCTCTGGCTGCAGCCGTCGCGTCGCTGCCTCAGCTCTCTGTCGCTGCCTCAGCTCTCTGGCGCTGCCTCAGCTCTCTGTCGCTGCCCACTGCACTGAGAACGAAATTCACACGAAACGTGTTGCGTCGACGCAGAGTGAGCGCGCGCTCAGACGCTGAGACACAGTTGCGCAGTCAGAGTGCGAGAGGGCGCTGGGAGAGCGAGAGTGAGAGATAAACAACGGCAACGTGTTGCCTTCAATTCAATCAAACAGATTGAACAGAGGAATTAATTGAATGTGAGCGTGCTGGTTCAATTCAATCAGTGACTGGACAAATACAATATAAAATATGCAGCTGATGGGAGAAAGGTGAGGGGAGGAGGGGCGGGGCGGGAATAAGGTGAATGCGAACGGACCTATTCAAAATGATGCTGTGAAAAATCTGTTAAAAATTATACAAAAGTTATACTAGACTAGCTGAAACAAAAATGTTACATGAGTTTTTTTTTAGTAGTCGCTCTGAAATTGAGGGCGTGGTCAATATGATGTAAATGCATATCTTTGACGGAGGTTAGCAGCAAGTTTGCTTCCAAGTCTGGTGACGCTATCGTTCAAATTGTAGGATATATGCATGTTTTGGGCCTTACAAATTCCTAACTTGAACTACGAAAGCGAATCGAATTGGGAATTAGTCAAATAAAGTTCAAAATTGTTGAAATTCATTATTCATATTGCCAATAATATAACATAATTTATGCAAATATTATGTTTCAATTACAGCTTGTTGTTCCTGAAGGCATTTGGCATTAACTGATCCGAGTGGATCTCAACTTGCATTGCGATTTTATCTCAATTGTGGGAAATGCAAAACTGGAGCAAAATTATTTTACAGGATTGAAAAATGCAAAATGCTCGACTTGAAAAAAAAGCAAGGATTGTTATTTAGAACATATGTTATTATCTTATTAAACCCATTTCGATGCCCTGAATTTATGTATTTAATTATTAATTTATACATTTTCTGTGTTGCCATGTGAAATTCATTGCAATAAGTGTTTTTTGTTGGTTGTTTGTCAAAGGAGTTGGTCAGGATAGTCGCAGTTGGTAGGGCTGCAACTGCAAGTTCGTTTGCTTATCCGATATCGGCATGTAAGGATATCAGCAAGGATATGACTCGTGTGTGTGTGTGTGTGTGTGTGTGAGTGCGTGTGTGTGTGTGAGTGCGTGTGTGTATGTGAGTGCGTGTGTTTTTCGTGTGTGCTTAGCTGCTGCCAGCTGCTGCTCCTTGCTCCTTTGCCCGCTGCCCGTTCGCTGCTTACGCCACAAAACATAATTTTCAATTACCTTTCTCGCAGCGTGTGGCTCCTTTCACCTTGAATTTTCGCCAAGAAAAGGACAACACACACACACACACACACACAGAGAGTGAGAACCTTTGTACAATTTAGCTCATTGTTTATGGGACAAGCGCCGCTGTCGCTGCTGGCGTCGCTGTCGCTGCGAGTTTGAGAAAAAAAATATGTTGTGGAAAATTGTGCAATTGTTTTGCAATTTATTGGTTAAAGGGCTCGGGCAACGGATGCCTGACGTCAGATTCCAGATTGCTGATTCCGGACTCCCATCTTTGACAATTATGCAACATCCTGCGCTGCGGCAAACGCCAACGCTGACGCTGACGCCGACGTCGACGTCGACTTTTGTTTAGAGCGCAAATTTATGAGATTTGCCGTGAGGAACTCTCCTCAGTAATCGAGACTGGAGAATTAAGTAAAGGCGACAGCTGTTCAGACAAGAGCAGGAGAAAGCAATTAAGTAAGACAGAGACAGAGACAGAGACAGAGTGAGAGAGAGAGAGAGAACATGTTAAAATAGATTAAGAAAACTCTCACTGGATAAATTGTACACAAAAAAGTCTGTACTCAAAATGTTTTATTTGTTTTTGTTACCAATTTGAAAGGATTCCATAGGAGCAACTCTCAAAGGTTTTCAGCATTTCTGGAATGAAGACCACCTCGTAGACCACTTGTCACTGGCCAATATGAATTGAGTCCTGCCAATATCTTAGTGCATTCCATAGAATGAATGGCTATCCTTTAATCTATTGTGAGGTGTTTTTCCCATGCGGAACTGGCTGAAGTTTGATCAGATTTGAATTGATATGATGAGAGTAGATAGTTGTTCACATGAAGACAGTATTATAGATTCCATATTCACATTATTTCCGTCTGTTATAAGTCATTCCTAATGGATGTCTGTGGCAGACAGAGGCCTCCATCTGATTTAGATTGCTTTGAATCCTGGCTTTATTTTTAAAGTTAATTTATTCAATTTATGCAAATTTGTGTCATTCTTTAGGGGAATGCCCTTTTTAAATAACTATTCTCTTAATGATAAACCACTGGAATTTGGAATATTGAATGTGTTGATGATTTGGGCATCCTTTTAGATGCCAAACCTAAGTTTGAAGAGCCTTTGGTGTCCTGGTTTTCAACACAAATAGACTATTTCCAATGAAAAGTAAATTTAGATTTAATTTGTATGATTTAAAAAATAAATACATTTTTGACGAAATCTTTTAGAATTTGCCAACAAATACCTTTGGATGGATCAGTTCTCCCAAGAATATTTTATTCGACTTTATTTTTTTATATTTAGTATTTAAAAGAATCTAAAACTCAAAGATAATTACTGCATAGCAGCATTAATATTTATATTATTATTAATTTAATTAATTATTATGCTTAAACATGCAAAATGTGAATTTTTTGCATTGTTCCCAAGCTGATTCGGTAGCAAATTTCCAGCTGCTGTTCCAGTTTTTGGGGCAGGCACAGCTGAGCTGAGTGGTCAATAAATAAAAAGAGAACAAAAATAGTTGCAGATAAATAAATCAATAAGATGAAAGAATGATTGTCATTGGAAGCGCGCGTTCTTGGGGCAGCTGCAACGGGAGTGAAAGGATCTTAACAATAATCTGTCGTCCTGTCAGCCAGTCAGCCATTGAATCAAAGCCAATTTAACGCATTGGTCATTACAACGCCTCTGATCGAGACTGAGTGAGAAAGACAGATACAGAGAGGGAGAGAGAGAGAGAGAAGCAGCGCGAAGGGAAGATAAATTAGGGCATAGCTGGGCAACGCCTGGCTGAGGATCAGGATCAAGATCAATTCGGACGTCCTAACTTTGCCGCTAATAAATTGCCCAACAATTGCGCAATTTCTCATAGCTGAAAATTGAAAATTGCGAAAAAAGGAAAATTCTTAATGCAAACACTTCACGCTCAGATTTGCTACTGTTTTTGTTTTTCCATTTTCATTTTCTTTGCCTTCTTTTCCTTAGCCCAAACGGGCGTTATCCCTCGCAACACGCACACAAACGGGAACATGGCAAGGACATCAAGATAAAATGCGCTTGCAAGGCAGGCAAAGGACGAGGAGGAAGAAAGGTAGCTAATCTTGAATCACACACCGATAGCGCCAGGGACCCCTCAACCCCGAACAGCTGTGTGGGATTAGGCGCTCCTGCTTCGGTTCTTGCCCCTCCCTCCCGCCCTGCCTGCAGCCTTACTCTGAATGATGGACCATCATTGTGCATTTCATCACTCAACTTATATCATATTCGTGTCTAGGTTGGAACTAACTTTCCGATCTTTGTATATATCTTTATTATATATGAACTCTTTTCAACAGATTGTTGCTATGGAAACAATATAATATTATATTGAACAGGTAAAAAGCCAAAAAAGCGAATCAGAAAGAGCCCAAAACGAATCCTGACTTTAAATTCAAATTTGTGCAAATGAATGTTTCAATCAATGTTAATTACTTAATTTATTTGATAGATCAGTCCTCAAATGATTGATAGTGACTCAGTTCAGTTGAATCTAGAAAAAAAGAAGTATTGCCAAATAGAAAATATATTTGTTCAATCAAAAATATATTAATCCTTCAGATACAAGAAAGCTGCTGAATACATTTGAATATTATTTGTAGTCGGTAAAACACCTTTCGACATAAAGACAGAATTGGAACGGGAATATCATTTCACACATTGTCCAAGTGTTTATTAAGTATTTATTAAGTAACATTGTTGAATTATATTTAATTTATTGCTCCCAGCACATTTTATAAGTGTGCAAACTGAATTGATTTCAATTTACTCTTTTACTTAACACATTCTCTCTCTCGCTCTATCTCTCTATCTCGCTCTCTTTCCGAAATTCCAGCAGCCGAAATGCCAATACAACGGTGTTGTTATTGAATTGAATGAGAGCGCAGATAAGCTCGCTCTCCGCTCTCTTGGTGCTTGGTGTGGTGGTTGTTCGACTCGAGCAGAGCTGAGCACGCAACATGACGTGCCTGGCGAGCATCAGTCACATTTCGTCTGCGCCTCTGAGAGGACTTCGTGTTCCGTTCGTCTCTTTTTATTCTTCTGCTTCTGCCTCTGTATCAAACGCGAGCAACGAAATAAATATTTTTTGATTTCGACTTTTGACTTTCGACTTTTCGGTTTATTTATATGTTGTATTTTTTATATATTTTTTTTGTGTTTGTTGTGAACACGCTGCTTGGATAACGCAACAAGGCTTCGCTTGAAAATAAGAAAAAGGTAATGAGAAGGAGACAAGTGCATTAAAAATGCATTAAATATTAAATATGTGCAAATGTAGACCAAGAAAACTCAGCCAACCATCCAAAGACTCAAGCACGAAAGTGCAACCGACTCGACTCGACTCGAGTGCTCTGTGAGAAACTTAATTATAAAACACCCCATTCAAAAATCATCGCACATAACATTTTCGTATTCGTATTCGTATTCGTATTCGTATTCGTATTCGCATTCATATTCATATTCATATTCATATTCAAATATTCACATCACAAATTGTGCGCGTGCGCCGCGTTAATTTTTTTTTAATAATTTTTAAAAGTTTTATTTTTTTTTTTTGTGGGTTCCGAGTTCCGCATTGGGTATTCGAGTTGGGCTCTTTTTCGTACTCGTTTTCGCATTCGTTTTCGATTCGATTCGATGGGATCATCATGTGAAGTGCGCTTGAGAGTAAAACGGGGCAAAAAAGGAGGCGGCCAAATGCGCAAAATGCTTTCACGCATTTTCGAGTGCTGCACAAATATTCCAGGGAGCATCGCATTTCGCGTTTGGGCCACTTGAGTGGCCCGATTTAAATGGCCAGCGAGTGCCGGAGTGTAGAGTCTAGAGTGTGCCAGAGCCAGACCCAGACCCAGAACCAGGGCCACCATTTTGAACCACCCAAAAACACACACACACACACACACACACACAGAGAGTCACAAACACATCCAGCGAATCCAGAGACGCAGCTGGAAATTGCCTCGTTCTGAATTTGCTTTTCTTACACTTTGGCACTTTCTGCTTTTTGCGCGCCGTTTCCCGTTTCTGTTGCCTTTGCCTTTGTTGCACGTCGGCAGCTTTCAATTGTTGCCTGCCCCAGCAGCCGGCAAAAAAGCTATGCTGCCTGCGCGAGTGCGAATTTGAAATCCTTGCGAAAATTCTATGCGCAGCAAACCCGTTTCAGCTAGTCAAAGGACAACCCAGCTACAAGTTCAACGAGTTTTGTTCATCCTTTTTTTTTTTTTTGCTTTTTTGCTTTATTTCTTTACTTTTTTCTTGCACGCAGACAATGGCAATCTGCTTCTTAACTAGCCAGTTTCATCCGTACTCATCGCTAACTTGATCCTTTGCTACTCTTTCAGATCTGCAACAGCTGCCACCATGCTCAAGTGGGCTGTCAACCAGCCGCGTCCTTCCTACCTGGAGGGGGGCAAAGCAGTCCAAGCTGTCCTTGGCAGTGGCATCGACTACAATGACTTTCATGCGGCAGCCCCAATTCCAATTCCAACTCCAATTTCGATTGGGACTCCTTTCCCCACTCCACAGGCGACTCCTGCAGGATTAGCGCAGCAGCGCTTCAAGCTGAAGAAGCGCAATTCTCTGCTGCCTGCTTTGAATTTGGGCAAGGAGAATCAGTTGACTTCGACGCCGCTGCCCGCTGCTGCCTCTACAGTCTCCTACTCAGCCTCCGCCTCCTCCTCCTCGTGTCCGCGCACGCCCCTCCTCCGGGATCTCAGCAACATCATGACCCCAGCCACGCCCACACCCACCACAACAGCCGCTCTGCACCGTGCCCGAAGTCAGTTGAAGCCAACAACGGTCTACGCCTCCACGCTGCCTACCTTCGAGGCGGAGTTCTCGCCCAGCTACGGACTCAATGGGAACAACAACAGCAACAACATCATTCCAGGCCCACTGCTGGCGCTGCGTGGAATGGGCATCCCGGACAGCTATTTCGAGAAGCCACGCTACCTGGAACAGAAGCCACTACCACAGCTGCCAGCCAGAACTGTTGGAGCAGCTGTTGCTCCTCCTCCTACTCCTGCTCCTGCTCCTGTTGCTGTTCCTGCTCCTGCTCCTGCTGCTCTCCTTGAGCAGACAACGCTCAGCTCGACTCAAATGGGCGATGTCACCTTGGAGCGGATGATCGATGCCATTCTGGAGAGCACTCGTAAGGCACCCGTGGCCAGTCGACCAGGTGCTGCTCCTTCCCTTCGCAGTTGCCAACGCCTGCGTCAACGCCAGCGTCAACATCATCGCCAGGAGCAGCGTCTCATCTCGACTGCAAGGACGGTCGTCCACTCGCCCACCTATCGACCCGCCTTCGACCCGGCCAGCGATCTCTGCGAGTACTGGCAGCCAGATGGCTACCAGGAGCGAGAAGTGCGCTCTCCGCAGGAACAGGCACAGCCTCCGTCTGGGTCTGGATCTGGAGGTGGATGTGGAGTGGGGGGAAAGAGTGGGAAGAGGCGTTCGCTGCAGCTGCAGTTGCGCAGGCAGCGTGTGGTGCGGCGCAAGCGGAAGATTACCACGAAGATCTCGTCGAGCGTTAGGCAGTCGGCGCAGAAGCTTCTTGCAGCCGCCTCGCGTTCTGCCCAGAAGCTGCCCCACTCCCGCTCCCGCCACATAAGCCCTGATAGCGGACACAACTCCACCAGCGACTGCGACTTTGGGGAGGAGGCTGGCCCATTTGGCGTTTGCCTCCTGGAGGCGGCAACCAAGCGGCGTCTTAGCTTCTCCTTTCACGAGGACATCTCTGTGGAGAAGTAAGATGAGTTCCTGCGCCACAAAAAAAAACAAAAAAAAAACTGGAATTCAACTTCAATTTTCGGCTGTCAAAATAATTGTAAATAATTTTTTTTAATTGTTTTTTTTTTTTCGCTTGTTGCGTGGAGAACTTTGAAAATTCTGACAAATTTTTGAATTTAGCAAATTTGTTGCTAAAAGCTCTCAATTGCCTTCTTTAAACTGCAGCATTCCAATTTAAGATTAACTAATGAATTATAAACATTTTTTTTGATCGTAATAAAATTGCCAACATTTTGAGACTCGTTCAACTATTTGAAATTGATTTCTTTTATTGCTGATTATTCCCAAAATGAGGTAAGTATGCATTTTTAAAATTATATTTTACGACTCCAATCTTAACTGCCAGTTTAGAGAGACAGAGACAGAGAGGGAGAGAGAGAGAGAGAGAGTATACCAATTTGTATTAATGCACATAAAGGCAGGTTAAGCAGGCGTTAGGAAATTTGTCTGTGGTTTGACAGAGGTAGGAGGGGTGCAGGGGCGTAGGGGTGCAGGGGGTGTTATAAAAAGGGCAGCGGTAAAGTCGTTGAACTACCCTGTTGCCAGTTGTTGGGCAGCCAGTAGTTCAATGCGAGCATATCCTGCATATCCTGTGTGCTCTGCATATAGCATATATCCTGTTCCTGTTCCAGGCGTTTACATGTCATTTATCAGACACCTGTGCAGCAAACAGTCCGGCGAGTTCGCAGTTCGCAGTTCGCAGTTGCTGTGGGTGCCCCTTGTCTAGTTGCTACATTGCTGATGCAACAAAACGTTGCACAATTTGCATAAATTTGAATATTTGCTGCTGGTCGACAACAAATGTTTTGGTATATGGTTTTAAGGATATGGTTTGCTGGCAGGCTGCCCACATGAACCAAGTAATTTATACACAGCAAGAAAATTTCAATTTCAAAGACAAATACTGAAAAATAGGAAATCTGTGGGAAAACTTTCAATTCAACTTTATCTTTATAAAAGTCGAAAAGTATTACAAGAAAAGTATTTCAAGAGAAAGTTTTATTATTCTGCTAATGAATTTTACCATTTTATTGTTGTTTAAATATATTAACATATTGATTCAAGTGTGGCATTGAACATGTATAATTTTTAAAGTCAAAATTGTGTTTAAGAAAATATCAGAATGGAAGCCAACAGTTTTTCTTGCAGTGTGCAAACAGTAGTTGTTGGGTTGCAAGTAGTGCAATGTGTGGCACTCTGCGGCTTGTTAGGCCAACAGCTTTTGTGAGGCAACCAGCCCGAACAAAGTTATGCAAAGGATATGCATGCAATGCAATGCATATGGAAAATTGTTGAGGCCACAAAACATTCAACAAAAAACAAAAAACAAAAAAAAAACAGAAAGAAAGAAAAAAATAGGCAGGCAAACAGCTGCTCGGGCGCAAGATCTGGCAATGCGTGGGTCGTTAGCTTCTGGCTCTCCTTAAATGTTTATTAAATGCCTTTCAAGTTGCCATTGTTCAGTGTGTGTGTGTGTGTGTCCTTATCCTGCTCCTGGCTACTGCTGCTGCTGTCCATTGTTGCCGTGCGCTCAATTGAGTTTCCCTTGGCGCTGCAGCTGCTCGGGCTCTGCTCTGCTTTGCTCTGATTTGTCACATAAGGACTCGCGACGCACGCTCCTCGCACATCCTTAAAGAGCCTGCGCTGCTGCGTCGGCGTCGACTGCCACTGCCACTGCTGCTGCTGCTGCTGCACACCTAACGGCAATTGCGCCAAAAATTGGACAAGCAAAAATGAATTGTAAGAATACACAAACCGAGCCCAGGGGACAGATGTCGTCGCTACTCAGTGTGTGTGCGGGTGTGTGTGTGTGTGTGTGTGTGAGGCTGGGTTTCTGTGTGGCACGTGACTGCATTTGCAACACCAACGCAATGCGTGGCAAGTTCTCAAGTGTCTGCTTCAATTGCTTCAAGTGGCTGCCAGTTGCCGATCCCGACAAATGGGTTAAGTGCCGGAAATGGCCCAAGCAGTGGCAAGGGACGAGCAAGGGGGCAGATAAAGCGAACTGCAAGTTGCAACTATTTCTTTATTTGCCAATCGAGTTTCGTATTTATGCAGAAATACAAATTAATTCATATTTACTTCAAAAACAATCTTTATTCGAATATTTGCAGTTGCTTTAGTTACCCTTGCCAGCTATGCGGAAAATCAGATACATTTTATAGATATACAAAAAGGATATTCACTTCCTTTTTTACCATATATATTTTGTTTTTCGCACAGATCCAAACTGATCCTGGCAGCTGATAAAAAAGATCAGCTGCGCAAAAGATAACGTTGGGCAACTCAATCAATGTCAGTGGCAAGCTGGCAATTGCAACTGTCAATAAATGGAGCACTCAGGCACAGGACTAGCGCAGGACAAAGCGACAGAGGGGCGAAGGGCGAATGGGGAAGGGGGAGGGGCAAGGAAAGCGCAGTAATCCCAAGCGACGTGCGCGATAAGTTCTTAAGGAACCTTATTTTGCCAACTATTTGTATTTGTCAAAGGATCGCATTTCCTTACCGCGAGAGAGGGACAGAGAGACAGAGAGAGAGAGAGAGAGAGAGAGAGAGAGAGGTAGATGGGCGTAGAGAAGACGAGACGATTAATCAATGTGACGTGTGCGCATTTTTTGTGCCTTGTCCTCAATTCTCGCTTTGCTTCTTCTTCTCCCTCTCTCCCTCTCTCTCTCTCTCTCTCTCCCTCTCTCTCTATTGTGTTTGGTCTACTTTTTGGGACATCTTGCCTTGCCAGTTTCAGCATTTTGCGCGCCAATGTGGGAATATGTCCTTGTCATTTGTTCAGATTTGGTCTTTCTGATTGAGTTTGGCCTGTGTCCCTTGACGAATGTCCTGTGCCTTGTGCCTTGTATCGCTCTGCTTCTGTCCGAAATGGGAGCGCAACGTGTGAAATTGCAGTTTCATTCAGCTCATTTGGCTTTGTATGGCATCTAGTCCAAGATCTCTTCAATATATATATTTGAAGAGAGAAGTGAGATCTTTTGCCTTTTGTATGTAGCATAAGATCCTTCGCTTGATAGCTTCTCTGTCTCTTCTCTTGCCCAAATAGAAGATTTTAAGCACAATATATCTACAAAAAGCGATCTGATTGGGTCACAGACCAGTTATAGTTGATAGTCAAACTCAGATACTTTATAGGTCTTTAAAGGTCTGGCAACAGTATGACAATATACATAGATACCTCTGCATTTGATCTAGTGTTAAGAGTGAAAGATCCCGAATATTAAAAGATATATTAGAATAAAGATCTCAAAAAACCCGCAGCAGTCGCCCACTCGCCACAAAAGATGATCTTCGAAAGATCCTTTGGGGTTACACATTTCCCAGCTAAACCGCAAGATCAAACAATTCAATTGAGAAGCATTTGCATTTAAAAGCGTGCAACAGAGAGAGAGAGAGAGAGAGAGAGTGAGAGAGAGAGATGAGTTTATGTAAAGGGTTGTCCTTTGTTGTTCTTTACGATTCCATATGTAAATGTTGTTTGCACGACAAACTTTGAAACTGACAATGCCAAACGCAAAACTAATAGATACATTTATGCCGATCTGTTACAGGATAAGAAAAGGTCCTTGGGTAATTAAAAATCCTTACGGTCATCATTTGGTTGCGTTGGGAAAAGGGGTCAAAGGTGGTTTGCCAACTTAACTCAACCTCAGCCTCAACCTCGGCATCAGCATCAGCATCAGCATCTGCATCAGCGACTCTGTTTGCATTTGGGCTTCGGCTTGGATTTGTGTTTTGGGTTTGTCTAATTGCTTTCCATTAAGTGACCTGCATTTGGAATCCGGTTCTTAGCACTTAAACCAATTTTCTATTTGTCAGCTTTCAAGTTGTTTACTCTGCGTCTTCTGATCCTAAGACGATAACACTAGACCCGAAACTTTTACTCGGGTCAACCTCAACGCAACGCATGACTAACGAATCTTGATCAGCAAATCACCTAGGAAAGATACATAGATGGGTGCAAAGCATTAAAATTCATAGATGACATTTAAACTTGGTGCTATTAAGCAAAAATATATATTAAAATGAGATATCATTTGGGATTACAACTTTTAATAGTTAATTGTTGCAAATAATATAATAATAATATATGGAAAATATAATACTTTCTTTGCTTTTTCTACTCGATCCTTTTGCATCTCTCAATCCAGGTTATAATATAATTGTAATCGATTATCAATATGAATGCATGTTAGTCCCATTGTGCCAGAGTTATCTGCTCTGGAATATCAATTATATATCTCTTCCCAAATTTTCTAATTTCTTCCTGACTATCGGCCTCAGCTCACTTGTGGCTGCATTTTGATGAATCAGTCGGAAAACTGAGTTTCCCCTATGCCTAGCTCGACTGGACCACAATATTTACACACAAACGTGTCTCGCGTAAAAATCGTTTGATATTTTCTTGTGTATAATAACAATAATATTTTCCTTAAACTGCTCGTAAAATTGTATGCGACGAATGCGCACTTAAGGATATGGAATGCAATTTAAGGATCTCTTCACAAGTTTTACGATCGGGCCACAAGTTTTTATGACCCGCCCATAAATCGCGCCGACTCGCGACGATTTCGAGTCCGGAACATAAACAGTAATGCAATTAAAGTCGACAAAGTCTTCTCAAAGGGCGTGTGTCACACATGTAATGACAATCAAACACAGAGGCAATCGAGAGTCAGGGAATCGAAGGCGAAGTGATCACAATCAAATTGCACCTTGGACCCGCATCAACTGTTGTCCTGCCGATTGCCGATTTACAAATGGTTTTTTTTTTTGGCAACGACATGTGTGCGAATCGAAGGATACTATTCGAAATTAGCGTATGCAGCTCCTAATTAGCTAACAGCAAAACTACCAACAACTTCTAGCTACATTCAGCTGAGGGTTGGCTGATTATGCTGGCGGATCCAACAACGGTTTGTATAACTCGAACTTGGTCAATGATTGTCAAACGAAATACAATTTTTAGCCGGCTTGATTCCTGGATTGAACATATATATGGATATATATAT